GAATATTTAATTTCTTTTATTCAATAATCATCATACTGTTTCTATTATGCATTGTTTCGATATTTTATAAATAATTAAGATCAAAAGTAAAGATCAAAGTAAGTCAATATTTTTTCTATCGAAATGAGTACACCAAAATCAATAACCCTTATCGTGGCAGGTGAATGATACGTGCTATCAATATGAAATCACACGATCTGCATACATTATATTATCGAATTTCAATGATCTTATTCCTTTAATTATTTTTATTAACATAAATAAGAATCATTAATTTTAATCTCATTACATAGCGCATATGTATGTATATCGATTAAATGAAAAATTAAAAAAAATTTTTCCTTTTAATATTTTCTTTTTTTTTAATTTATTTCATCACCGACAATGCATTTTTCAATGATTTACAAAACATGAATTTTATAATTATATACTTAAATATATATAAATTTGTACGATTATTTTCCCTAAGTATTAAATAAAAAGTAATAAAAAAAGTAAGTATTAAATAAAAAAGAAATGTTTTAGGCAAATATCATGTGATGTCAAAATGAAGGATAGGTGGAGGAGCATCAGGCAAATTCTAACGATAATTATTATACTTGGGATAAATTTAAAGAGCCTAATAAAAGACATTTTAATTTTTGTTAAATAGAACCCTATATTATTTATTATATATTCTTATAACTGTATCATCACCCTGTATACAACTGATAAGATTATAATATGAAAATAATAAAATGAATGAAGTATTAGAGAAAGATTAAACGTTGTAATGTTTTTATAAGATGATTACATTTATTAAATTATTATTTGACAAAGAAGATAATACTGATTATAATAAGCGGTCGTATCGTTGCAAGTTGCATTGGATTATGGATTATTGATTATTGATTTGAGATGTTTATCTAGATAACCAGGCGTTGCAAGCTTCGCTAGCGATTTCGCACATGGCGGAGAGTGCTCGGTTGGCTACTTCGGCATCTGCAATAATTCAAATAAAATATTCATCAAAGATCTTATTAATATTATTTATCTATGATTATTTTTTTGATTATTTTTTTCACAGGATGGATCAAAAGTTCTTGAACAATTTAAATAATCAATTATTATTTTTCAATGTTATCACTTTTTCTGTTCTACGAGTTTGACTTGCAGTTTTGCAATTCGAAGAAAAAATAAATAATCATCTAGAAACTTTTGATCTCTACGTCCTGCAGTAATATTACAATAAAATTATTGTAATATATATATATATATATGTGTGTGTGTGTGTGTATACAAATACCTATCGCACACACATTCAAATTTTTATTATTAAAATGTAATATTTAATAATTAGTAATAGTAAATGTTTTTGTTTGTGAGTAGTTCATTTTCTATTTGTTTCTCTTCTTTCTTTTTGAATGTATGATTGAAAAAAGAAAAAAAAATACGATTAGATACATCGAACATTTTTTTTGAACAATCGTTTGAACATTGAAATTTACCAGACTCGGAGTTGGATCGTTTGCCGAAAATGCTGCCATTGAATGGAGGTTTCTTGTATCCAGCCTCGACGATAAGGCCAAGGATGGCAACGACGAGGAAGATGGTAAGAGCAAAACGGACGGAGACCATTTTGAATGAGGGGATTTTTTAGAGCTAATCCGTTAGAAAAAGGAAAAAGAAAAAAAGGTAAGTTTGTTAACAATACAAATAAAATAAATAAAATATTAAATATTATATCTTACTTGTTGAAGGAAGCTGTTGATTCTTCTACGAAAGTCGAACAGTGAATGTTGTGAATCTAAGAAAAGATCTGAGCTTTTATACTCTCAAGAAGAGTACTAAAGATAAATCTCTCTATCAAACGCAGACGAGGGACATTATATGCAAGAGAACGTTTCCAATGAGATTTTTTTTTAACTAAAACGAGTATCGTGCCATTGAGATATGTCAAAATGATCAATGATAATGTTATATATCGGACATAGTTAGAAAGGAATATGGCAATTTCATTTTAAGTATGGAGAAATGAGGAATAAAGATTCAAAGCCGGTCACTGACATTCAGAGAAATGAGTTTGACTTTCGTATAAAATCTATATATATAACTTCTCTTATATACTTCTGTTTTACTTACAAAAAATTCATATTAATATTATAAATATAAATATATTTATAAATATGTTTTAATAAATACCTGAAGATGGTTGTTGTTGCTCTAAGAAAGAGGTGAGAAACTGAACTGATACTTTCCTTCGAGTAGTCTCGGCTTTTATAAGAACCTGTAAAATACCATAGGGAATGGCTAATAATAAGCTGACAAAATTGCATTACAAGTTATCAGAAACTAAATGCAATTTTGACTGCTCCTGATTGATTTTTACCTCATGGGAAATAAATTTTCTTATTGTTCATGAGAGATGATACAGCGACAAAGTATATTGTTGTTTTCAGTTTAATTATTGACTGAAACATATATTGTCATTATTTTATGTAAAATAAAATTGTTTAAATATTTGAATGGAATCCCTTGTTCACGTTAATTCATGTCGAAAAATTCTAGAACATCGATCCTTAGAACGTAGATTCCTAACATAATTGATGTAATGACCAAGTATATATATCAAGATCCATTGAAAAAATTTAAATAAATATATATATATATATACCCATAAAATGTTCATAAATATTGATAATTAAATATTATCCATGTTTTTTAATGTCTTATTTAACCCACGGTAAAAAACAAAAATTTTTATATACCATAAGAGTTACATATATTAGCTGCCAATAAAATAAATTTCTTTTTTAAGAAAAACCTTTCGTTGGTAATAAAATCGAAGGAAAATGTCATAAACAGCAGTCGATAAAATCGTTTGCGTCATTGTTTGATTATACAAAAGCAGAATTCTACTATTATCGATTGCGTCTACCAATCGATAAAATAGGACTCTACTATTAACGAAAGAGTATTATAAGTCGATAAAATAGGACTCTACCACTAACGAAAGAGTATTATAAGTCGATAAAATAGGACTCTATTATTAACGAGAGTATTATAAGTCCATAAAACAGTACTCTACTATTTCTTGATTATTTCTATTCGGTCAATAAAGTACTGATTTATTATTACTTTTTCAATCGATAACACAGACTCTTACTATTATCTACCAATAGTACAACGTCCTACTATAATAGAAAATACTTTTACGTTCGAAATGATCGATAAACTATACAAATCTAATTGGAAATTGTCACATGATATTAATACTTATCTTGATTATCTTATTTTATCTTATATTTTTCAAAATTATTAATAATTTTCTTTAATATGATAATCTTTGTAATTAAATGACTTATATATAGAGTATGCTAATATGATTGTTTAATTAGCTATTATGTAGATCTATCTATCACTATATTATTATAGGTTTTAAGTTTTAGCATATAATTGATTCTTTTATTTGTTCTATTCTATACAATATAACATAAAAAAAATAAATAAATTATTTTCAAGCAGAAATTATTATCGTTTACTCATGAATTTATTTATATCATTAATTTTATCATTAAATTTGTAATTAAAGCTAAAGTTATTTAATATATTAGATATCACGTATTAATATTACAATATGATTATAAATTTTAATACATATATATATAATATTTCCTAAATATAATTTGGTACCCCGTTTTATCTCCTTTTCGAATCTTTTTTATTTATTTTTTTGTTTTTTTTTTTTATTAATAATAGAATGTATGAATATTTACAGATTTCGCTTAAAGATATAATAGCCCAAATAATGAATTATTGGATCTCTATCTTCGGCCTATTTCTAACAATCGCATCGTGATCAGTAAAACAAAAGATAAACAAATTAAACTTCAAATAATCACCTGATGAGAAGTATCTGTTACATGAATTATTAAAATAATTTTTAAACATTTGTTATGTAAATAATATCTACAAGTAATATAATGTTAACTACATAAGGGGAAAAAAAAAGGAAAATAAAATACTTTTGCAATTGTTACTACGAAGTCATTAATCTTTTTTATAATTATTATTAAAAAAAAAAAAAAAAAAAAAAAAAAAAGAAAGAAAACTGTACGCACACACGTATTATAAAAATTTGCGATTGTCAAAAATACGAAGATGTTACCGTTACATCGTATATAGGCATTCTAAAATCTACGTCTTATTGTCGCGTCACAACTTCTTTTTTAACGGCGCAAGATTAATTAAGATATTACTGTACAATTTTCTTACATATCTCACGTATATGGATTATTTTTTGCATTAGAGAAAAAGAGAAAGAATGAGTAGGAGTGATAGAGAGAAAAAGAGAGAAGGTAGGATAAATAGATAGATAAATAGATAGAGAGAGGAGACACAAAAGGATTCATTTTCTTCGCTGGGGAAGAAAATACGAAGACAATTTTTTTTTTCCCTTATCATTATCAACGATAACATGTATTAGGTGGATGAATTAGCCTCTACGCTTATTAAAAATCGACTTAATTAATTAATAGCAAATGAATTTGTTTAATTGGAAGACTTTGATTTTGTTATTATATCATTTTTCTAAATTTTAATCTTAAAACTATATACACTATATTAGACGTTTTATTATATTATGTTATCTGATTAAAAATAGTCGAAATGTATTTCATGTAAAATCTAAAAACGACAATATACGATAATAATTATTATTAAACAATTTTATCGCGCGAGAAAATGTAACTTTACGTTAGCCGTGTTACTAAACTCGCGTATTACATAAATATCATTTATTGCATAATACACACATCTCACACCAGAGTCGTGTTCACACGCCGGAAATTTCTTATGCGAAAATTTTATTTGATATCGTCAAAAAAAAAAAAAGAAAAGAAAAAGAAAAGAGAGGAAAGGAAAAAACAAAAAAAGGAAAACAAACAAATTTCAATTAACCGTATACTTTTGCACGCATTGACTTTTCTTCTGTCCTTCTTTTCTTCCCTTTTTTTCATCCCTTTTTTACATTTTTTCATCGTGTGAACTCGACCCAGCGATCTTAACATTCTTATCGATCTAAAGTGCGATTAAATAATAAGCGATATATGGATGTAAATTTTAAGTAAAAATCTTTTTTACACCACCACTTTAGATACTTATAAAATTCAAGTTACTATATATATATATCGAAAATTTTCTATCTTATTTTAAATATATATATATATATATATATATATATATATATTAATAAAAGCTCGAATGATAGAATGAATGATGTATGTATGAACGACGATCTTCGAAATATATTGTACAATTCGAACATTCATTCTTATATCGAAAAAGAGAAAGAGAGAGAGAGAGAGAAAAAACCAAAAAAAAAATGAAAAGGAAAAGAAAAAGAAAAAATAAAACAAGACAAGATATTTTAAAGGAGAGAAAAAAGAAGAAACTATTTGTGTATCTTTAAAAAGTTATACATCAATTGTTCAATTATAATTAATTAATTAATAAACCTACATACAGTATATATATATATATATATATATATATATATATATATATATATGAATATATATAGAAGAACAATGTTCTCAATTAATATTCTAATGGGGTCACGTATGATCGAACATGACTGACCTAGACACGCCTATATATATATTATCTAGGAGATATGTAAATTCGTCTGGCTCTCGATTAGGCAAAATAGAAACTTGCCGTGTTCTCTAGCTGTCATTTATCGAAAATAATAGAGAAAAAAAACAAAAAAAAAAAAAATAAAAAAAATAAAAAAACAAAGAAAAACAAATAAGTATACATCGTCGTCGTCGTTGTCAGCGTTGCTTCTTCTACGAAAGGAAAAGAAGGAAAAAAGGAAACAAAGGACAGGGAAAAGAAGAGGAAGAAAAAAAAAGTAAGAAGAAAACAACAATTTCAAGGAATGATGTCACAATTGCAGGCACTTCCTCCGTGGCCGATGTTGCACTGAGCCATGCACCACATATCCCAGTCGATCTCGTCTGATTTTGGAGGATTAGGTGCACTGCTTGCTTGTTGATTATTATTAACGTCCATGAAACGGGGAACGAAATTTTCGTCCTTGATTATATCTCTTCCGTCCATCATCATCCTCATCTTCTTCATCATCAGTCGCTGTACTTCTTGTCTTCGTCCTTCTTGTTTTTGTATTTGTTGTCGTTGTTTTTGTTGTTGTTGTTGTTGTTGTGTTTGTTGAAATTTGTCGGAAAGTTTGGTTGAAATTCGTAACCGATCTATATTCTCTTCCTTTCGATTGTTCAACGACAAAGAAGGATAAATCTTTCGGCAATCGCATCGTTCTCGATCTCGAAGATATTGAAAAAGATTACGACAATAATGTCTTCTCTCAACTGATGCAAGACAAAGCCTGTTTAAGAGGTCGTCCACTTCACGGCCACGACGGCCTTCCTCGACTAACTGAGAAGTAACGTGGACCTCGTCCTCGTTCACCGAGAGGTTCTCCGCGCGGCATAAAACTACGCATGCGTTATTGAAAATATAAGTCCTTGCCGGGACGATCCTGGCGTGGCCGAAGAACATCACCAGCAACACCCACCAGGCCAGAGGCGTCATCTGAAAGTGATGGCTAATCAATATCAAAAGTGGACTTCCTCCCTTCCTCCCACCCTACCACCCAACCACCCATCCACCTACCCACCCTTCTACTCCTAACACTAAGCTTCCCCACCTTCACCTCCTCCCTCTCTACCTAGCGACACCCTCCTATCCACTTTTTTCTACTATCTCTTTTTCTTTTGGAGAACGAAGAAGAAGCATTTCCTCGTTTCTAACCAGAAAGCGTAAACTTCTTAAATCAAATAGATTTTCTTATATATAATATCGATATTGTTACCCGTCGATTTGATTTTAGTATGGCCTATGAATAATATCGATAACAGATCATATCTTTTTTGATCTCTCTCTCTCCCTCTCTCTCTCTCTTTTTCTCATCTGCCAAAGAAATTTTCTTTGTTTCTTATTAATGATAACGATCCGCATTTTTACATAATTAGATCATCAATAAGTGAGACTGTACGTGAGATTAAATCGTCTGCTTTTCTTTTTTTCTCCTCTTTCTTTTTGTTTTTTTTTTTTTTTTTTTTTATTGTTTTTTTATCAACTCGAGAAAAAAATTATCGCGTAATTCTGAGATCAAAAGTCATTACGTTTGATTGTCTAATATAATTACAAAAAAAGAAAAAAAAGAAAAAAAAATCATATATTTTATTAATCAAATCAATGAATGAAAATTTGTCTGTATAAATTTGCAGAAATTTATAATCATTATATTTAATCGTTTACGTTTTATTAGATAACAAAATGATCGAAAGAAAAATTAATTCTCATTTTGATTTGACCATTGAATGATATTAAGTCGGATGATTTCCATTGATTGGATCTAATGAAGAGATACACAAATATGATGAATAATTTCATTCACGTAAATTATCAATTATACGTATCTACTACTATCGAGATAATTCCAAGTTTCTAATAGTTGAAGCATGAAATAACTATGACGAGAGAAATCTGACATACCTAACTGTTACGTGACATACCAACTAATACGAATACCATTGGTAATATTTGTTATAGATGAAATATGTTAGAATGTCCTCGATCAGATATTACTCGCATTCGATCAATATATCCAATTATAATAAATTATAATAAGCCTAATATCGTATAAAAGAAAAAACAAAAAAAAAATAATATCATTTCGAAAAATAATCTATTTCACGATCGAATCTTACCTGATTGATTTTTTCTTTTTTCTTTTCTTTACACCCAAAAGAAAATAAATAGATAAATATATTAACGAAAAAAGAAAAAGAAAAAGATATTAAAGAAAATGATACTACGAGTTAGAAACTTAAAGAACGTAATTATCAGGACAAAAACTTTTAACAGACTGAATGATCGTGAATAAGTGTACGACGTATCGATACTAGATAGGTCGGTAAAAATCTTCGATTACATATAATACGTCGATACGATGATCAATGATAAATGATAACGCGCATTCATACACGTATCGTATCAACGTGCTTTGTGTATTGTTTGCAAAATATTATTTTCATTAAATATCTTTTACAAAAGAACTTCGTTCGATTCCATATGGATTAATATCATATTCATATATTATACCATAGCTAAAGATATGCATCGAAGTATTTTGTACGTATATTTAAAATTATTACAAATTTTTAATAATTACGATAGCTATTAAAATTTTATTCGATCGTATCGATAAGTCCTGATATCTTGTTTAGACAACAAAAAAAAAAAATATATATATATATACAAACAAAAATAATTCAGTGCGTTAAATGTAAAATTTAATGTTTCTTCAATTGAAACGTAATTCATTTAACAAAAAGATAAAAGGAATATAATTCGATAAGCTACATATATATCGTTCCTACGTAATACAAGAAGTTAGTTTATATATAGTTAGGTTAAGGGACTGCGTCAAAGATTACAAAAAAAAAAAAAAACAAAAAAAAACAAAAAAAAAAAAACGAAAAATAAAACAAGATAGAAAGATAACATAGAGATAACAAAACTAATAGGTACCTCCTCCTCTTTTATTCTGATGTAACATAATCTTCGATATAATCTTAACTTCGTTGAAACTCTTTTCTTCTTTGAATCAATCAAATTAATTTTATTAATTAGCCATCGAAGTAGATCACGATTTCTATCTCGAAGTAGATCAATATTATCTATCTCTCTATCTATCTTCATTTTTTTGCTTTTCTTTTTTTTTTAGGGTGAAGGGACGGAGGGAGGAAAAAGGAAGAAAAAAATAATCGTCGATAATTCTTATCAAAATTCTAACGAATCGTATATGTAATTATCTCTGTTAATTTTTTTTTTTTCCTTTTCTCTCTCTTTCTCTCTCATAAAAAATTTTTTTTCTTTCTTGCACATAACGCAGCAAAGATATATTACGGAGTAAAGCAATCAATTACAACCCCGTACAATGTACATAATATAGATCTTATCAAGGAGATCTAGAGCATGCACTTTGCTCGACCTCGATCCTATGTATACTATTTTCAGTAAATCTACTAATTTCGCGTTGCAACTCGTGAAATATTTCACGAGTGTAACAAGGTCGTTTCAAAAGTTCTTAGAATTAATCTTACAAAGGTAAGTTTTTGTTTTTTTTTTTCATTTTCCTTTTAACTTAGGATAATGTAATTTTTACAATCTGAAAAAAAAAATAAATTAAACATAACGAAAGTTTCGAAAAAGTCTAATCGATTTTTACAATGACCTATTGGAATTTCACGAACTGTATTTTTTTGTTCTCTCTCTCTCTCTCTCTCTCTCTCCCTCTCCCTCTTTCTCTACTTTTTATTATTTTTTTCTTTTGTTTTCTTTTACTTTAATTTTATTTTTCCTATAGGATTCACGATAATGGAGAATGGAAATTCAGAACAGATGCCGCCGGTGAATTCTTTCCACGATGAGCCCTTGGGAAGTGTTGGCTCGATTTAAACTTTCGACAAGAAAATGCGAGAAAGAGATAGAGCTATATATATATAGAAAGGTAGATAAAGAGAGAGAGAGAGAGAGAGAGAGATTTTTGCCTCCTCTTTTCGTCTCACTCTCTCTCTCTCTCTTTTTCCCTGTTTTTCTCGTACACTTCCTTCAAAGAAAGTAGAAAAACTGTAGGCGAGTATACGATCGATCTAACGTCTGTGGTTGCATTAAATCCTCCCGACCTACTACCCTCTTCCTCCCCTTAGCTACCATCCACGCAGAAACGACCCCTTCATCGACTCTTTCCACCCTTCTATTCTTCTCCATCCTTGTCTTTTTATTCTTCTTTTTTTTCTTTACTTCTCTTCTCTTTTCTTTTCTTTTTGTGTTTCTTTTCTTTTACTTTTTCTTATGTCAGATATATAATGACACAAACTATGTTTCATATCCGAGTTTTGTTAGTTCGCTTTTGGAATTTTTTAATAATACTTTTTAAGAATTTGTGTCATCGATTTTTAAGAATGCATTACAATTCATTCTTCTATCTAATTCGTTGGTATTTTTTAATAGTTTTTAATAAACTATCTCTCCGTCTCTTTTGTTTCTCATCAATGAATAATTATTACATGATTTATTTCACTTATCATTTCGACGTTGAAATTTTTTTGATAATATTTCTTAATAAAAATTAAATTCTATAATACTAGATTTGATATTATTATTAATCAAGCAAAAGGATTTCCAATGAAATAGAAAAAAATATCATCATCGTTTATTTAAATAATTAATTATTAAAAAATTCTATATATAAATTATTG